TCTTACGCTATATTGGGTACCATAGCAGCCCCAAATAAAATACTACTCCTGTAGCTTTAGAGCTTAATTAATCCTAAACCCTTAACCCTAAATAGTAGTTTCCATTTTCTTTTCCATTATCCCAATATAACCCCTAAACCCTAAACCCTATTCATCAGAGCCCTGCAGTTGGCCCACCTGCTGAGCTAAAGACACACCCACCGGCAGCAAGGAAGCGCTAGTGCCACTCCCATTGAAGAAGAGGCCTTAGTTGAGCGTAATAATCATCACCATCATCATCACAACAACTAAATATACTATAGTAGTTTCCATTCTCTCCATTATTCCCTATAGAACCCCAATAGTATACCTTAGGTGGACCCCACCCTGTAATAGTGGTAGGAATATAAGAGGACCCTAATATAGTTACTAGTATCCATTATAATTACAGGGTGGGGGGGTCCTCCCAAAAGAGACCTCAAGAGGCACACGCCGGCACTAGCCAGAAAAGCTTGCAGCTTAACATGGAAGCTCTTACTTTTAAGTTGCTGTTAAGGAATTCAAACTTCCAGAATATGCGTATATAGTAAACCTTACTGTTGAAGTTTCCTTGTCATAGAAATTTAAAACCAGTTCGTTAACATCTGCGTATTCCAAGTGAGTCGCATTTTTTGGTGTTTAAACCCAGTAAGATAATATTCCTTATACAAAATACTATGCCCAAAAGGAGGATATAATCTTACTCTATATTGGGTAGCATAGTATCCCTAAATAACATACTACTCAAGTGCCGCTTTCCCTTACGTCTGCTCAGAAGAGAGGCGGGCATCTGCCCCGTCTGAGACTGGAAAAGGATACATAACCTGGGTTGTGATTTTTGTTTAGGGTATAGGGGGTTTTGGGGTTTAGGGTCTAGGGTGTAGGGTTTAGGGGGTTTAGGGTTGAGGGGGTTTAGGGTTTAGGTGGTTTAGGATTTTTGGGTTGTGCTGCAGGCTTTAGGCTTAATGTTTGAAGCCTCTGATTATGATCTGTGGACAGGAGTCTCAAAACAAGTAGAACAATTTCAAGAAATCTTCTTACTGTTGGTTGGAAGGGAAAAAGGGAAGAAAATCCCTATATAATCCCCACATAATATACCCCCCCAATCCCTTATTACGAAAACCCTAAATCCTAACCCCTAACTCCTAAACCCTGCATCCTCAACCTTACACCCTAAACATGTCTAAACCTTGGGTACTGCCCCCACTTAGTAACAGTCTATATTCGGGGTCCTATGACGGGCTATATATACCCATATTCTAAGTATTATCCAACTGTTACTGAGGGGGGGGCAGTACCCAACCTAAACCCTAAGCCCTAAACCCCTAAACCCCTAAACCCTAAACCCCTAAAGCCCTAAACCACCGCCCAGCAACGTTGACCATGGAGATCCCCGGGTCACAGTGGTGCTTGTAACGCCTTGGCGCTCTGATACTTTCAGCCTATGGGCTAGGGTTTAGGGTTTAGGGTTTTAGGGTTTAGGGGTATCCCCCTTAATAATGGAGAATCAAATGGAAAAGAAAATGGAAAATGAAATGGAAACTGTTATATATAGGGTTATGTAGGGGATTATGCCTATAAACCCTGAAACTTATAGTCCCCCTTAAGTAGATAGAATATGGGGTATAAGGGGATCTTATTATACAATACCCAAAGCCATATTCTATCTACTTAAGGCATATCGCCTAGGTCCTGAAACTTACACCCTGAAAAGTGTAGGGTTCAGGGTTTAGGGCTTAAGGTTCAGGGTTCAGGGATTAGGGTTTAGACCCTAAACCCTGAACCCTAAACCCTGAACCCTGAACCCTAAACTCTAGACCCTGAACCCAAAACGCTAACTAATGCCAGGATCCTTCCCAGGCTTTCAGCACTTGCGATGCAGGGCCCGAAGAAGTAGGCTAAGCGGCTAAGGCTCTTTCAAGTATAGCGGTTTAGGGTTTAGGGTTTAGGGTTTTCAAGTAGAGTTCTGGTATATATGTTGTGTACTTCCCTCCCTCAGTAACAGCTGGATAATAACCTAATATAGACTGTTACTGGGGGGGGCAGTACCCAATATATATGCCACAAACTTTGCAGAGTGGAGAGCAGACATTCCTCGTAAATATCAAAGTTTTCAGGCCCTAAATTGTCCACCCTGAATCCTTAAGCCTTAGCCCTACATTCCTAAACTCCAAGCCCAAGCTCTAGACCTCACATCCTAAACCCTAAACCCTAGCTTGGCTTCAGCTAGGCACGGCTCTGCGGTCTCGCAGAGCTTTCGGAATGGCGCCATGGACCTGTTTCAGAAACACTCATGGAGCGTGCTGGGCATGTAAGAGGAAGGGGGTTCACTTGTGACT